TCTGTCTTGTTAGCCTGTAATTTCCACATGGAAAGAACAAAAGGACGCCATCCCACCAACTGGCAAGGTTTAGAGACAGAGCTACAAAGGATATTCTTAGGATGAGGGGAGCAGCCCTGTCCAGAAGGTCTGGGCATCTTTACCCAAGGAGATTTCAAGACATTGCTCTCCACTGTACACTACAGAGAGGGGCCTGGCCAGAAGTTCAGTTCCTTGGCCTTGGGCTTCCGGCTCCCAGAGCTGTGAGGAGGTAACCTCCCTTGGTCTCAGTCCCTCCATCTGCACTTCATTTTAGCGTTTCCAGAAGACTGACTCGTGCCTAAAATGTATGTGCTACTTAGCGCTCTCTCTCTCTCTCTCTCTCTCTCTCTCTCTCTCTCTCTCTCTCTCTGTAAGTCGCTAATAGGCAGCTTTTATTCACTGTATTAGTCTGCCTCAGTTGACCTCTGGTTCTATCTCTTCATAGTCTCCCAGTTCCGGTGCATTGCACTTGGCCATTGTCTGTGCAGTGCAGGGGTCAGTCACAGTGTCCCCTCAGCTGGCCTCCAGCCCTGCTGACCTTCATCCTCTGCCTTGAGTCATTTCCTCTGGGCTGGAGCCTCCAAGCTCAGGGCTCTGCAGCCCACTTCTGAGGGTGTAGTATGCTGCCCCCAAGGCACAGGAAGCTCTACCCTCTTGGTCTGCACTGGGTGGACAGTGGCTGTGCACCGACAGGATGCAGTACTGCGTGCAGGTGCACTGGGGTCTATAAGTTCAACTCCATGGCCCCCGTGACTCCAACCACTGTCTTCAGAACCAGCAGTGATGTGCAAAGGAGCTTCTGTGTCTGTTACATGGGTTCCATCGGCCCCTCTTGTGGAGCTCAGCCTGGCAATAACTTACCTGTAACAGGGGAAGTGTGAGAACGCAATCCATGGTGTGAGTTCTGCTTTGCTGTGTTTTATTTTAAAATACCGACTTCAATGCGGCACTGCTCTGGTAAACGTGCCATGGTGTGCTTTTGGATCAACACTTAATGTGTTGCCTACACATGTGACATTAACACGGTCTTGCCAGCTGAAGCAGCACGGTTTTATTTGTTGTTTGAGAATTTCAAACAATGTATTTTGATTGTGTTCACCCCTCCCTCCATCTCCACACCCCCTTCCGGAAATCTACCCATCCAATTTTGTGTCTTCTTTAACCCAGTCCAATGTGTGCTTTTCCCATATTCTTGGATGTGTGGCCTTTCACTGGAGCACAGTCAACACTCTTAAAGAGAACCGACTGTCCCTTTCCTAGCAGCAATCCTAGACCAGGGATGGGACTTCCCGCCCACTTTCTTTCTCCATGCTGGGAGTTTGTTTGGCTGGCTTGAGTTGGCGCAGGTCTTAGGTTTAGACCCGTATATTAATGCATCTCTCAACCCTCATCAGAGAAGCTTCCATTTGCAGTAGATAGTGTCTCAATGTGAATTCTCTTGTTATGATAAAACACTATGACAAAAATCAACTTGGGGAAGAAACCTTAGAACTTGTAAGTCCCTCACTGAGGGAAGTCAGGGCAGGAACCTGGAGGCAGGAACTGGAATAGAAGCCAAGGAGAAGTGCTGCTTACTGGCTTGCTCCCCATGGCTTGCTCAGCTTGTCTTATACCGTCAAGGACCATCTGCCCACAGTACGATGGGCTCTCCCATATCAACCATTAATCAAGAAAGTATCCTACAGACTTGCTTCCAGGTCTGTCTTAGGGAGATATTTGCTCAAGATTCTCTTTTCCCAGATGTGTCTAGGTGTGTGCCAAGCCAGCACAGGGTGATTAATACCGAGGCCCACAACTGGCCAAGGTGCAGATTAAGAGGTTGCAGAATGCTCAGCCGTAAATGGGAGATCAGTATCACATCCTTTCCTCCTGAAGTTCAAGGATCCTTGCAGGGGAGGTGGTGGAGAGACTTGAAGAGCCAGAGGTGGCGGGTGAACACAGCAGGGCAGCTGCACCCATGAATCACAGCGGTTGTGGCAACAACACAATTGTAAATAGTGTAAACATCTTCACGTTTCCAATTCCCTTATTTGGGAATATTTTGTTGTGTACATGGACAAGGAGGTGAGTAGACATCAGCCTTTTATTTTCTTCCGCTTTTTAAGATTTAAAAATTTTTTATGTGTTGTTGTGTGATATTTTGTTTGTGTTTTGACAAATAAAGCTTGCTTAGAGTCATAGGGCAGAGCTAGCCACTAGTTAGCCATAGAGGTTTGGAGGACTGTAGAGAGAGGGACAGGAAGTGGTACGGTGGGGCTGAGGCAGGATCTCAACCCTTTCCGTTGGAGGATCCGGAGAGGTAAGAAGTCTCTAGTGGCTGCTTCTCTGATCTTTCAGGTTATTATCCCCAATATCTGACTCCTATTTTTTATTGATAAGACTAATTAGGTTCACACTTCAATGTGCATGAACACTTGCCTGCATGTATGTATGTGTGTGCACCTTGTATGTGTCTGTTGCCTGTGGAGGACAGAGAGGGTATCAGATTCCCTGACACTGAAGTCACAGACTGTGGTGAACCTCCACGTGGTTGCTAGAAACCAAAGCTAGATCCCCGAAAGAGCAGCAAGTGCTCTTAACCACTGACCAACTTCCAGCCTCTGATGTTCGGGTTTTTGAACAGCATCTCATTCTAGTTTAGAACTCACTATGTAACCTTGGCTGGCCTCAAACTCATTCAATCCTCCTACCTCCACCTTCCAAGTGCCAGGATTATAGACATGAGCCCCTATGCCCAACCTAGACATTTCAAGTCAGCGGACTCCGGCTTTCAGAGCCCAGTGGCCTGAACTCTGAGTGGTACATTCATCATCTCCGAGTTCCCCATACTTGAGTTCTTAGGGTGGACCAACATGTCTCAGAGAAATAGACCGTAATGCTAAGAGCAAGCTTTCCCTCCTACAGCTCACAAATGTGATGGTATTCCATAGCCTGCCTTGGAAAGCTCAGAAACGAGTCAGTAGCTCTCTCAAAAGCATCATGAAATGGGATTTGGGATAATCCTTCAAAAAAGGAATTCTTGTAACCAAAAGCAACTGCAAGGGAAAAAAAAACCCACAAAAAACAAACAAAGGGAGGGAGAGAGAGAAGAGGGAGGATGGGAGAGATGAATCACTTATTGCTCTATCTATCAGGGATAATGAGCGTGACTTGCTCTTCTGCGAGGTGTTTCCTAGCACAACGGCTTTGGAAATGGTCCTCAGAGTGACTGAAAATCCTTTTCCTTGTGTGCCATGGATTACTGTCCCATGTCACCTCTACTCCATCCACTTGGCTTATTAATGCATGGCCTCCTCAACATGGCCCTTGAGGGGGTTCCTCTAAGGTCAGTGTGAGGCAACTCTATGCTCCTGACCGAAGGACAATACTCTGTCCTGTGATGAGGTTGTGCTCTACATGGGCTTGTTTCTACAAGCCAGAATGTAAAATGAGACATCTATGCAAAGATCATTGCAAGTTTATTATTTTATTTCAATATTCAAGAACAGTGGGGGCTTCTGTCCAGCCATTCTGCAGTGTGTGCTGTCTGGATGAAGCCATGAGCAAAGACGTTCAGTCACATCGGAGGGCGAGTGCTCCTGTGGGAACGATCTGGAGGGTTTACTTCTGGAATTTTCTTCCCTGCTTTTCTCTTACCCTCACGCTATTGAGGCTATGTATTAATTGATGTTATCTTAAACCCACACTATTTTCAGAATTAGAACAGATTAACAAGATGCATGTTGGTTTACATCAACCATCACCTTCCTTCCAAGGATGACGGGGCCAGTGCGGGGCTCTTTGGAAGGTCTATAAAAGACATGCTAAATCAAAAGACATTAGTCAGTAGGTTAGAGGGATGGAGAGGTGTCCATGAACATTAGAAGAGTGGGATTCTGAGCTCCTCATCCCTGAAGGGTCGCCCAGGCCAGCCCTGGATCCAGGGTAGCGACTCAGTGACAGGCACACTCCTAAATCAGCTATGAGTGAGTCGTTTCTAGGAGGTAGGGGAAGGTTATTTTTTCACTGAGGTTAGTATATACCAATGGGCACTGCCATGGCGGGCTGCCACTGGCCATCCCAATGTGAGTGGTGGCCAGAGGGACACCGCGAGGCCACCAGAGAACTCTTGCATTCCCACTTTGAGATGCGCCATATCCTTGGACTCTCCCTGGGCTCTGAGAGGAAATGGGGTTCTTAAAAGCACCTGCTCTGAGGAGCCACCGAGGAGAGATGGTGACATTTGGTGGCCACACATGACATCTCCAGCGTGTTCCCCTAAGTCCCCATTTCCTGTTGGGGCCATTGCCCAGCCCGCTCGCCCCTTTCCTTCCCTCTGCCACGCTCGAAATCAGCTGGTGGGGTGCAGGGAACAGCTGGCCTGGAAGCGTCCCCAAGGTCACCTCACTCTGGACTCTCACAGCTGCCCAGCCTGCGCTCACATACCACAAGCCCCCCGTGTATAAGCCACTCCATGACTGTCTGATCCTGTTAGGAAAAACGAAGCTCTTTAGGGGGAAGAAAAGAAAGGAAGCCTGGACCACACAGTCCCCTGTGCCACGCTCTCTGGCTCCTTGGCGGTGTGTCTGTCTATCCGCAGTGCCCACGGAAGCTGGAGGGGTGCGCCTCACCGCGAAAAGAAAGTCTGAGGATGGAGTAGGGGTGAGCTTGGAAGGGTTTCCGTGCACTTGGACCTCCGGAGTCGACCAAGGTGCACGGGGAACAAGGCAGGGCCGAGAAGACCCCGAGGAAACTCAATCTTCAAACGAAAAGGGACGGTTTTAACCAGCCGGGGTGCCGCGAGCCTGGCCCCACCACGTGCGTGGCTCCGCGGGATTAGGAGCGGGTCTGCTCTAACTAGCTAATTGGTTCAGGTAGAATTAAACGTTTGAGGCAGTTATATTAAGAAGCCGAGGGAAGGATTCGGGAAGGCAGAGCAGGCAGGACTTTCAGCGTCTCGCCATGGGAGATCCGGAACGGCTGTCTCTTCCTCCCTGGGAAAAGGAAAAGACAGGAGTTAGACCCGAGCCTGTGTGGCCTGTGGGATGTCGCTTCCCCTCCACAGTGCTGGTTCTGGGACTGTCCAATCACAAGCCGTCCGACCAGGCCTCTGATGATGTATCTGGGAGTCCTTTTGACTTCTTTTTTGAAACTCAGTCTGATGAGCACCTGCCTCCAGCAGAGGTCCTCCAGCTGATTTCCTTCTTGGACTTAGCCGACCCTTGAGCACAAGCTTCTTTTGCATGTGAGCCGAAAGTTCAGAGAGGAAGAGCTGTTTGCCCAAGGCCAGCCAGCCAGCAGAGGAGTGAGGGCTAGAGCCAGCAAGGTGGGTACCTTTGCCTCCATGTTCTCTGTTAGGCTTTTTTGTCTCTTGAACCACTTGGCCTGTCTTTGGTGGGCCTTAGGCCCCGTAATTGACTCATCCGTGCTCACCAGGTAAAGGTTGGCTTGGACTTGTGCCTGGAGACACGGAGTGAGCATTATCTGCTGAAAGCATGGGTACCTTTGTGCCCGCGAGACCCGACATCCTCACGGGAACACTCCACGAGGCAAAGGCTCCCTTTATGCACCTGGAAGTAAGACATGGGTCCCAAAGACAGGGTGACCCACAGTTCTCTCCAGCCAGGTGCTAGCTGCCACACCAAACTGGCAAATCTGAACCCCTCCCTCAGGGCTGGCTGCTAAGAGTGGGGCAAACGACAAGCAGGAGGCAGGGGCAGCAGTGATGTTAAGAGCCAGGGAAGCCTCTGAGCCCGCGCCCAGCCCACTCACGCAGCCTGTCAGCCCACCACCAGCTGTCTGTGTGCTACGTCTTCATTACAACCACATGCACCGGAAATCGTCAAGCTTCCTTGACCTACGTAGAAACTTAAAGCCGTTTACAAAGCTGTTTACAGAGAGACGCCTAGGGAAGCTGTCGAACCCATTTAAGAGATGCGAGTATCACACACTCACGCCGCCAGCACACAAGCGGCAGGCACTCACACCTGAGTGGAGCTGTGGAGACAGTCCCACTTCACGAGTCCCGTCTTTCTGGAATCACCCATGACCATGCATCTCATCTCAGAGCAGGGCCAGGTTTCCTGAGGAGCCACTGACCAGGCCGACCCTCCTACACCAGGTAGGTTCTGCCACACTCCATGTGTCTAACGCTCCCGGAACCCAGGGTGAAGTGACTAGTTATGTAGAGGATGAATCATGCTTCCCAGGGGAGTGTGGTTGCCGAGACAGCTGCTAGCATCTGGAGCAGGAAGCCTAGGGAACCTTAGTCCAGGTTAGCTTTGAGGTCATTCGGCACAGGTGACCTCCTGGCTGAGTTCAGAGGTCACTGGAGAAAATCCCTTTCTGTACCCTCTTTTTAACCTTCAGAACCCAGGCAGTGGGTCAAGAAGGCCTTTTGCTTGGGATAGAATTTATTTTCTTACTAGGATCTGCTCTGGGGACTGGGAAATGCCTGCACTTAGCCCAACACAGAAAGTGGGTGTCGCTTGCGTTCTGCTCACATCACAGGTGTGATGCTTTCTTCCTGACAAACTTTCCTCAGGCACACGGGTCTCATTGAGCATTACAATGCCTAGTCCACAGGCCTTGGAGTGTATGGGCTCAGATAATCATGCACCTACTTGATGAGGACTCAGAAGCCCGTGCCTGCCCTCTGTGTAGGCTGACCATGGACACATCCTACCAGTAAATACATGCACTGAACAGCTTGGGAATTACCTCAATGAGCTTGTGTTACAGACCCAAGCAGTCACAAATTGTGAAACCTTGATGTGGTGGTTCTCTTAGGAAACATACACCCTAGATCTGAACCTTTACACATCCCATCGTCAGCCGTGGGTTGGCAGATGGGCCGAGAATGGGGGTTGTATCCCCATTCTTATCAGAGACAAAGACACTAGATTCTAAAGTATGAGAATCCATTCCCCCAAATACGTGACCTCCTCAGTCACAAAGCGTGAGAGGTAGAAGGAGAATGCAGGAGGGCATCCCCAACCCACCACCGGAGGCCAGTCTGTGGGGACGGCACAGCTGGTGTGGATGCTGCAGTCCAGCTGTGAGGATGCTGCTGTCCAGCTGTGGGGATGCTGCAGTCCAGCTAGGGGGATGCTATAGTCCAGCTGTGAGGATGCTGCTGTCCAGCTGTGGGGATGCTGCAGTCCAGTTAGGGGGATGCTATAGTCCAGCTGTGTGGGTGCTGCAGGCTGGGACTCAGCACAGACTGCTGCTCTGTTCCTTGAACCACCAGTCCCCTCTGCCTGGATACTGTTCTACAGGAATATTAAGAAAGAAGCTGGGTATGGTGGCACCGTGGTAGGCGGCACCTTGAGGTTTACACCTGCAGCAGGGACTCTGGTTCACAGGCCTCTGTGTTCCCTGTTGTTCATCTTGGCATCAGAAAAGAAACCAGCTGTGGAGAGCAGAGAATGACTGAGTGTGTTCGCTACCTGCCCCTGTGATGTCAGAGCGCAGAGACAGGTCTCCTCGCTCAGATGGAGTGAGAGAGAATGGTAGCTGTGGATGCCATCCGAAGGGGCAAGGGCACTTCTTAGACAGTGGCTCTTAGTGCTGGGACTGTCAGGAGCCCTGGACTCAGGGATAGTAAATGCCTCAGAGCCTTGTTCGCATGGGAAGCCACCTCCAACAGCTGCTAGGAAAGACACCCTGCTTGTCTCCAGCCTAGAGGCCCTGTGATGTAGACTCATAAATGGGGACTGAGCCATGTCACCAGATCCCCGGACCTTTATAAACCTGGTTTCTCCTGTGTCAGACAGCCCAGAGACCAGGTGTCACTTTCCTCACCTCTGCCGAGGCATGCAACCGTAACCCTGACACCTGAATGCAGGCCTCATCTGCCATCCTGTCCCTGGAATACCCTCAATGAGCACCAGACTCAAGGATCCCCTTCTAGGGGCTCCCTCTTTCCTGCTGGCCCAGCATGTCAAAGGCAGCTCAATTGGTTGCCTCATTCTCCCAGAACCCTCTGAAGCCTTCTCCACACCTTCCTCTGCCTTTAGTGCTTCTACATGTATGCTGGCTCTTCTTTTATAACTTAGCCACGTCTCACATCCCTACTCTAGAGGTACAACACCCCCCACATGCTTCCCAAAGCACCCCAGCCTCTTTTCTCTACAGAATGTCTTCCCTTGAAGAATGCCTTCCTGAGCTCCAGGGCACCTGGATTGGCTTCTCAGATTTGAGAGGTGTTGGCCCTGCCTGCCAGGTCTCTAGTCTTCCCCCTAGGAAGGCAGCCCTGGCCCAAAGTATCCTGGCTGTCCTGACAGTGGTCACCTTGACCACTGGGGATTCAGAGTGCCATAGAATTGTTGAGAGAGTAGCTTTCATTAGGGGAAACTTGGGACTTGGTTCAGCATCAAAGCCTGGCCTAGGTACCCACGTTCCTCCAGGATAGACCTCATCCTTAGGGTTCCCTGGGGAGGACACAGAACGCCTCTGAGCTCTGATCTTCACTTCCAGGTGACCTTTTTAGAGTCACACTGTGAGATTTTTCTGGGCCAGGCCAGCACTGCTTTATATAATAGCTACTGCTTGGCCTGCGGTGGAACCACACTCCTGCCAGGGCCCTCACCAGCACCTCAGCAGATATGAGGTAAGTGGGCACATCACCCCCTAGACTGTGGATAAGGAAATGTGTCTCAGAGAAGTCAGGAGTTGAGGCCACAGACTAACAAACAGTGGCCCGGGCATCTATCACTGGGCTTTATGATTCTGGTACCTATGCAGCTCATAGCGGGCCCTTTCCTGGGTCTTCCTGAGGCCCCTTGAGTGATTCTAGTGAGCCTCCCTAAGGAGGCTCCTATCAGCCATTTCCACATACAGGTGCTACTCATTCCCACCTAGGCCCTTGGCTGGGGACCCAGGTCAGTGGCATACCTGACTTCCACCTCTAGGGAGAGAAGAGGCAGAGTATGGGCTCACAATGAGGCCCAGGGGATGCCTGTGCTTTGCACAGTGGTCTCCTTTAAAAGGCTCTTGGCTCTACATTCATTCCTAGGAAACCGAGAAGAAGGCAGAGCTATGTTAGCTAAGAACAAGGGAGGGCAAGATGTGGGTGTGAGGAGGTGACTGAGCCTTTGGCTAAGCTTAGTTGGGGGATTCTGGAATTTGTCTTTCAGTGATACTCTTCCTGACCCTTGGCATCACTCTGAGGTCATGGTTTTGCCTGGAGGAGTGGGGCACAGTGAACCCGGAGCATGGTTCCAGGCCCCCGCGTCCCACAGAGGTGCCCAGGTGTTTCCCCATTGGTAGAAATGTTACATTACCAGCTTAAAGATTTTGGAAAGCGTGCCCTGGGCGTCGTAGGCCCCCTTGAATCCCTTGTGAGCCGATTTATAGTCAGAAGCTCTGCCTCCATAGCCAAATCCTGGCTTCTGCCCCTCGGCCCCCTGCAAGAAAAGACCAGAGCTCAGTGTCTGCTCACGCCTGCCACCGGGGCCTAACCCAGGAGGACTTGAACCACCAGGTGGCGTCGGTGAGTCATTCAGGAGCCAGAGCAGCACGGAGCTCTGATGGGGAGGGGCTGGAGAAGTGCCTGTCCCCAAGTCCATTAGGGGGTATCACTGGAGAACAGAGGGCTCAGGGCTGGGCCAGGTGGTGCTGTGTGTGCAGAGGCACAAGTGTCCAATTTTACAGGCAGCTGCGGAGCTCTGTCCAGGGCATCTTGGTGAGGAAAAGACAAGCATCTCAAATTCCCATCAAGGGCCTCTGCCCTCATCAGAGGAGGAATCACATCTCCAGGAAACCCCCAAAGGTGCTGGAGTCCAGGGGCGAGGAGGGTCACCCTGTACCTGGCATTCAAGTTCGTGTCTGCTGGTCTTACACAGCTCAGATTCTGCTTACCCGTGCTTTGCTGCCTCTGTGGCCTGGGAGGAATCATCTTTGGACTCTGTGAGATTTTCCTTTCCTAAAGTAAAAGGCTGGTTTCCCAGTCTCTGGTCCAGGGCAGCCTCTCTATGGTGGCCATGGTGAGACCTAAATTCAGGCTCCTATTTGGTGCCACAGGCTGCTGGCACTGTGCAGGAAGCAAGGGGCACCTAGTAGCAGCTCCTCCCACTTTCTAGGTGGCTGACCTTGGGCAGGTGTGGGAGCCTCAGTTTCCCGCGTGGTGGGGTTTCTACTGCTCTTTCATTCACAGGATGGGGCAGAGTCCTAAGTGCCCATCTTTGCACTTGCGTCCTTATGGAACTGGCCACTCAGGAGGGTAGGCACCCCTTCCTGCCTCCATTGGTCCACAGCCCCCTCACACTGTTGGGATGGCCACCCCCTGTGGGATGCAGCAACGGACAGTGAGGACTGGAGTAAAGTTCCTCTGGGTCCCAGCACTGGCTTATGCACAAAGAGGGGTGCCTGAGGTAGGGCTGAGTGGTGATACCAGCATTCTGGGTAAGGTCTTCACCCAGCCCCAGTGTGCGGTCCTGGAGGTTGACCAGAAAGACTCCCCCTGCCTCACAGAATTCTGTCCTTGAGGCAGAATTCAAGACGTTGCATTGGGTTTTGACAAGAGGAAACAGGAAACCAGCTGTTGCCGACCTGCTAACTGCTAACAGCTCCAGCATCAGAAGCAGCCTACAGCCTCAGCATATTAGCCTCGCTGACTCACAGAAGTGCTTTAGGCAAGAAGGATCTTGAGATGCAATCCAGCTACCCGCCATCTTAGACATGCTGTGGACGGGATCAAGAAGATCCCAGGCTCTTCCAGGTAGGCTGGCTCGAGGCAGGATGGAAGCTAGGACCCAGGCCATGTGACCTAGCCTCCCCTATTCCAGCTACTTACATAATTTCCCTCTCTTTAGTCTGTGTTTGGGACAGATAGTGGTCCCCTAGCTGCCAGGGGTCTGTCCAATGAGGTAAGGGAAGGGTCTTAGTGGATACTTGGGGCCAGCCAGAGACACTCACGTATCCTGGAAGCATCTTGGACACGTGGGCTCCTGCACACCACATGGAGGGTTGTGGCTGCCAGGGTGTGTGGCACCGAACACACAGGCAGCCAAGTGGCAGGAACACAGGCTTCTCTGGGTGGATGCTGGGGCCCTTTGACCCAGAGTGTGGCTTTTCTCCCAAACCAAGAGTTTCTGCGACCTGAATTCGGCTGAACTTCCAGACTAATAATGTAGAACTTCCCAGTCACTTTCATCTTGGAAAGCCTCGACATTGTCAGGATACACACAACAGGGATATGAGAGAGCAAGAGGGAGTTTCTGAAATGCCAGACAAGAAGGCCATCCAGAAAACAGACATTGAAAACCTGGAAGAACTTTGGACGAAGAGAGACCCAAGGGCACATTGAGAGACCAAAGCTAGAGATCGCAGAGATATTTGCCAAGGCCTCTCCTGTTTGACCTCCTGTAGGGGGTCAAAGAGTCCTCCAGGACCAGGATGAAGTGTCCTCTTCCCACCCCCTCACATCCAGTCTTTGTACAATGCCACGACAACCCAGACTTAGAAAATTAAGACATGTATAGATAGCAGCAGCTAGAGTAAGGATTCTGGGTAAACTGACGTCATTCTTCATATCATTTTGTCTCCTGAGGGCTCAGAAAGTCAAAGAGAGAAAGAGGCTGTGAGTGGAGTCTAGGCAGATGCCTACCTTACTGTCTCCAGTTCTGAGGATTTGCCATGGGAGGAAAAAATCAGGTCCAATGGGCATTTACATAAAACGTTCCAGCAAACGGTTCATAGTTCAATGTGAGAAAGTGCTGGAATGTTGCAGGAGCTCCGTGGAATCTACTGTCTTTCAAGCAATCCTTCCTCTTGTACATCTCCCTCTTCTTATTTTATCTTTGTTTTTTGAGACAGCGCAACTCTGTGGTCCCCCCTACATAGGCTCACTTTGATCTCTTGGCAATCCTCCTGACTCCGCCTATTGAGTACTGGCATTACAGGTGTGTGCCCCGCGCTCGCTCGGCTGTCTGTCTTCTTCCTACTGCTGTTTCTACCCATCCCTTTTTCTTCTCTCTCCCTCTCTCTCTCCTTTCTCTGCCTCTCTCTCCCCCCCCCCACCTTCACTCATTCTCTTGTGTGTTGTTTGGCTGCCACAGATGGTCTCTGTGCCGCACAATTCACAGAGAAACAACCTCTCACCACCCCCCTCCCCCTCTGGCTAACAGGCTGGTGTTTATGCATCTATATAGCTCTGAAAATGACAGCTATTTACAAGGAAAAGAGCCATATCTAGTATCTGCTAGCAGCTGGGGTCAATATATTTGGTTAGGATTTATCAGTAAGCATTTTAAATTGGCATAGACATCAGGAGTCGCTAATATTTAGAAGCCAAGCCATTCAACCAATTAAAGCCTTCATTGAAACTTTGCTCTTGTGTCTAAAAAATCTAGAGCCCCCAAGGAATCTTTCTTGGTGGTTTATTACCTCAGTGTTAGCACTACTAACACACAAAACACCAAATCTCCTGGACTGAAGGGCAGGGGGATACTAGAGATAAAACAACAGGGTTCGGCGTCTCTTCCTTTAGATCAGCAGTATTGTTTGAAGGGGTGGCCAACATCGTTCTGTACTTGGTCTGTGGGCACTCGACTTTCCCATCACAGGCACTGGAGAGGAATTAGGGATTTTCTCCAGTGTGATGTGGCTCTTCCCTGGGAAGGCGCTCAGAACCCTCGTGGGGAGGAGGCATGGGGCTTGCCTGGGGCTCAGCCTGGCAGCCGTCCACACGGAAGGGTTTCGTCCCTGCCCTGAAACAGACAACAGCCTGTCAGCTGTGGTTGGCAAGCTGGGCTGGGCAGGAAAGAAAAGGCTAGTGTTAAGCAACAGAAAGAACTCAGAAGTCAGTGGGTTGTGCGGACTGCAGAGGGGGGGGGAAGCAGAGGAAATTCGGGCATCACCTACCCAGCTAAATCTGCTGAGGGACAGGCCTCTCCCCTGTGAGGAAGAGAAAGAAACAGTGACGAAAGAAACAGTGGCGATGTGGTGACGATCACCCCGGGCCAAGTCCTGGAACCAACAGGAACAACCAAAATGGCATGCCTCCCCCAGCCGGAGCAGGCTCCCTCAAATGCGCCAGATCGAGGGGTTGGCAGGGCCATCTGCAGTTCCAAAGCCAGGGTGTGACTTCTGGCTCAGGGGACCAGTGCAGGGATGCACTGGTCTTCTTTACACAGCCGGAGACCCGCCACAGCTGTGTCTCCCTGGGAACCTCTGGGAGCAAGATTGTGGTGGATTCGGAGAGCCCTGAGCCCAGTTCCATTCAGAGCACAGTTTGGATTTCAGGGTAATCATATCAATTGATTGACAATGATCACAACGTCTATAGTCTTACCTTTCCTTGGGATGGAGGTGGTGTGCGGGGTGTCACCTGGAAGACAGAGAAGTGTGGGCAGTCCCACTCTCTCTCAGAGGGTTCCACCAGTTTATGTCTACAGACATGGGTCCAGTCTATTAGGTACCAGACACTAACACAGGCCTCTATAGTATACCCTTCCTGGGGATGGACATGCTGCATTCACTGATACTCACCTTCAACCTGATGCCTCATTTTAATGTGTCTGTTTTATGTGTGTGGGTTTGTCCATTTAAGTGCAGTTGCCCATGGAGGCCAGAGATGGTATCGGGGCTGGAGTTATAGGCAGTTATGAGCCTCCCAACATGGATGATAGGGATTGAACTTAGATCCTTTGCAAGAGCAGTGTGCTGGCTAGTTTTATGTCAACTTGACACAAGGTAGAGTCATTTGGGAAAAGGGAATCTTCAATTGAGAAAATTCCTCCGTAAGATTTGCCTGTAAGCAAATCTGTAGTGATTTTCTTAATTAATGACTGATGTGAGAAGGTCCAGGTAATTGTGGTTGGTGCCATCCCTGGGGGAGGTAGTCCTGGGGTCCATAAGAAAGCAGGCTGAGCAAGCCAGCAAGAAGCATTCTTTCATGGTGTCTGCTTCAGTGCCTGCCTCCAGATTCCTTTTCTGATTTCCTTCTATGATGGGCGGTGATGTAGAAGTGTAAGTGAAATAAGCCCTTTCCTCCTCAAGTTGTCTTTGGCCATGGTGTTTTATCACCGCAATGAGAAATACAACTCAGGCAGGTAACATGCTCTATTGATTACTGAGCCATCTATCCAGCCCCTCATCATTAGTTTTTCATAAACTTTATTTTGGTGGTTTGAATGAGAGTGACCCCCATAGGTTCTTAAATGTGAGTGCTTGGCCCCCAGTTGGTGGAACTGTTTGGGAAGGAT